TGTCTACCTGTCTATTACCTACTACCTCGTTCATACTGGCTCCAGGAGACAGTTTGTCATTGCTGGAGGGGACGTGGTGCACGGCGTTCGTAGCCGCGCCAGGCTCCATGAGTGGTTCCATACACTCAGTGTGGAGCGGACTACGGTCAAACCACCTTCTTGTGTGCACTTGATTCCATAAATACAGTGTGTTTGTCTTTGCCTGTGAAGGAGTGTGGGCTGGCTGCGTTGATGAAACGTGGCTCCCATCCGTATGCCTCTCAGTCTTATTCCTTCGGGTTTACACTGGATATGGGATGTGTGGATGGAGCTGTGGGTGGCCCAGCGCAAGCCCCCATGGTCCCTCTGTAGGCACAAGTATACTGTGGCTGGCCCCAGTGACAGGCAAATCCGAAATCGGATGCCGCCTACCATACGTAAATAAGGCAATAAAATAAATTATCGAAAATAGTCTAGTGCACTGGCCACTCGCTAACTATTAGTAACTGATAGCTAAGCAAGTGGTTAGTTAGTTAGTTACGTGCTTTGCTACATATGATTTGGTTAGTAATTTCGTTTGGCGACAGCTTGGTGATCCAATCTTTGTACTTCCATTTACCCCCCACGTTAAACTACATTTCACCCCTTTATGGGTTATTGAACATATCCTTGCCAATGCACGGTTCGTTTTATGGGTCACGATTGTTCTTAGTATTTTCAATTACCTTGCACAGGCTAACGCTTAGTATTTCCTATCTTTTACCGATGACATCTAGATTTGGCGCACGAGTAAGGGAAACATCGACCAGCATCTGCTTCTGAGTGATTTAAACATGGTACATCCGCGGTAACTTCAAAAGGTACTGCAATCCAATATGAGCAAATGCAAATACTCTCCATACGACACCACAGTAACTACCCATATTGGCTAGGGAAGCAAGTACTACGACGCACTTCCGTCGAACGCGGCTCAGGCTTACATGTTCTGAATGACCTTGGTTGTTCCAGCTAAAAAGCTAAGGCATCAAATTTTGGTAACCAACAAGTTGGTCTGTTGCGACAGGGGTTCGGACAGAGAGATAACTCAATTTTCCGACACCTGTTCGGTCCATATGTTCGCCCCCATGTCAAATACGCAATCCTAGCCTGACATCCGTGGTTGAAATATGAACCCAATGCTTTGGAGCATTCCTAAGGTCGGACATCCACCTTCGTCATTGGAATGCGCAATCTCCCATAGGACCAAAGGCCTAGACGTTTGGGAGAATACAGTGGATGGTGTCGACAACTGCGAGGCGGCATGATAATGGTCTACTTGATTCAGTACCATCCACTGATTGTGTTTTTATCTGTACCGCAACTCAGTAGTAACGCATACCTGAGAGGTCACTCTTTGATACTAGCACTTCGAAGCGGCAGTCTATAATAACGCAGAAATTTCTTTCCGATGCGTCTGGGTCAAGCGTGGAACGTTGGAACTAAATCGGTCGTCTCTGCACCGCCATAGATCATATTTAAGTCATTTGAATGACGCAGTCGTCTGCTTACGCTTTCGTACCAATTAGTATGTGTCTATTCTATTCCCGTGAAATACCTTCGATTTATTATTTTAGGCCAACTGGAGCAGTGAAACCACGCGAAGTGTAGGGCTACCTCGTCGAAAACTATATGCGCTTTAAACCGTAACATTACTGACTACTTTTTAGTAACTTTTTACTATTACCCACCAAACCACTCCACCGGGCTTTTAATGCGGTGTTTCAAGACCAGTATAAAGTCGTTGTTCAGAGCTCATTGTGTCAAGTTCGTAACATTCTGAGTCGCGCTATTTTAACTCATGTCCTGCGCTGACTAGAGGAATCCGCGTACCTTTGTTTCTGCGGCTTTGTTCCTTTCGAACCAACAAAAGTGCATATGCACCTGCTTAACTGAAATCCCGTGCTATATATTTGTCTGACAGTCATTCATCCCGACGGATGGAAGTGGAGACCATACAAGGTACTACAGTGTAGATTGTTCTCTATCATAACAAATTGCTCGAGCTTGCGGGATACCAGTGTTTCGCTTTGCTTAGTCAAGTCAGTTAACTTGTAACGAGCTAGCAATTTGATCCCAAACGAGAGGTGATGAACGGACACAACTCACCAATCACATAGGATAAAATGGATGCGCCTTGTAGTTATCGGGCCTTTGTATGCTATGTCGTACATAAGACGGAAGTCGGTATAACAAAACTCACAGATAAATAGGTGTACCTCTTTCTCGACGCTATTTACCAAGACTGATGTCGTCTTTTAGAACATATCAGGATAAATGAACGAACTGAAAATGAAACCCGCAGTCCAGGATTTCCCTTAGTCTGTCGCGCCAGTATGTTATCCAGCCTCACTAGCAGTGCTTTTCATAGCGCTTTGGGACAAAGTGCTTGGATATTTGGAGCATAAATGTTGTAACTGGATTGTAACACGCAATGACACTTTGAAAACAAGCAAACTAGGTATGTTCAGCCAATGGTGTCGTGTCTATAACGGTGCATTGTACGTGACCATGAGCAAATTACACACCGAATGCAAAACACTACTGCAGCAGTAGGAGGGTTCAGAGCGCGCACCACGGAACCCATTCGACTCCCAGCGATTGCAAAATAAACTACTAGTACCAGTGCTCTGGATTGCAATAGAAATTTTTGGATTGAAAAGAGAAGATTAACTGTTGGTGGTATGTGTGCAAATCGCAGTCGATTTTGTTTGGGCGTACCTACATCGCCTAATGGACTGCTAGCGTAAACGCAACAGAGAAGCTGTATTAGCCTACACCCGCATTTTCCCTGTGTCCAATGAAACATCTGCGTACTATGTGATTTCGTGTTACCCACGTTTGTTTGGCAATTTATAGTTCAACAGAGATAGTGTACTGCACAGAGCGTCTCTGGCGGTTACTTCCTACTTCTCTGCTAATGATACTACTGGGGAGCATTGGCCCCTGTTTGACAAAGGAACAAACGAAAGGCGTATGAACTGAGCAATCAGTCACCGGCTCCCAATGGGCGCGATTCCCTGAATTCGCTCCGCTGCCTTGCGGACAGGCTATTCAGCCAAAGGCTCGGGGTGGTGTCCCCTAAGTCAACACCCTACTTCGGCTTGGGCAACCGGGTAGTATCTCGCCCTCTGAGGAAACCATGGACATTGTTGTGTTGTGTTTTATTTTACTGTTTCTGTACCTTCGTTTGAATCCCATGGTTTCTGATGGCATTATGTCTGTTAACAGACTTTTGCAAATATATATATATATATATATATATATATATATAATGATACTACAGCAGCCACTGTCTCTGGACAACAGAAGTGACAGCTATTAAGTACAATGTCTGATTGAAGAAACCGAAAGCAATCTGCAACACACGCATCAATGAATAAAAATAGGCAATGCACATCCTTGTATGAGGCCATGAAATATCAAACTTAGACCAGCTAGAAAATCCCAGTGCGTAGAGTCATAGTGAGTGCATCACGTTAGGTACTTGGTCTAATTTTAATCAGATGAATTACCTGAGTGCTCCGACATACAGTGTGAACGGTGTATTACTACTCAGAATATTACCTGCCGTGACGACGTCTGAGGTCTTTCACCTCTTACGTGCTGCTGTCAAAGTTGTTGGCATGTAAGTTGAGATTGCTAGGTAAACATTGACGGTGTGGAACAGTTCGTCATAAATCCAAACGTATTGAAAGAAACCCACTCGTTAATCTCACCTAGCCTAACGGAATGACGATGGGCATTACCATTGTACGCACTACGCCGTACGGATCCCCCGAAAGCGTTGCATTGCTCGCAAAACCGTGTATGTCTTAAAACCCTAGACTGGAAGAGTTAAGGCGCTGTGTTCAGATGTTGTCTTTCTTCCTAATGTTTAGCGGTGTTATAATATTTGGTGCTCAACATCATTACTGGTTTGGTAGACGAAACGCGAGGTTACTATGTAGAAGGTTAAGCAAGAAGTTTGCTTTTCCAGATTTCATGTTATTCCTTACATTCTTATGTCCAGCTGCTCCACAGATCATCGTGTGAAAGATCCAATTTCTTGGTACTTTTCTCTGTGACCTTTTATTGGCTACCTTGAAAGCGCTAATGGCAATATATAACATTAGCAATCTCAGTAACTTGTAAGTATGACAGTGCACGCTCCTTTTATCTTAATATTGTGGAATCCATTTTGATTAATGACCCCCCTGAGGAGTTCTTCCAAGTTTTTTGCACTGCACCATTGCAATAGCTCACTGGATAAACTCCAAATTGCGCCATATGCTTTTCGCAGTTGTGCTAGATTGTTTCGCATTATGATCATCGTCTTTATTCATATCTAAGTTTGCCATAGTATTTCCCGAATGATTCTGTTAGGTGGCTGAGAATGCATCATAGTATCAAAGGCTTTATAAAAAAGCTGACTCCGTTAATGAGTATTAACAGACAAATCGTTATTGGTGTAATACCCCTTGAAGTGTTTAGGTACTTTGCCCTGAGCCACATGCACAGAACGGCCCATGTGCCGCTTAAACGCGATCCAGTGCAGAGTATTCGCAGCCTCTTGCAGTCGTTACAGGATGCTTTGATGCCATTTATCGATTGCAATGTACTTTGACACGCACTGTCACATATATCGGAGATCGATTGAGTTTTCAGCAAACATACTTACCCATGTAATACCAGTACCTCAAGAAATGTCTTCATTAGGCTATTACTATTCGATAGCGAGTGCGTGAGTTATCGGTTTCATTGTCCATGTACGTAAAAAGCATGACCACTTTGCATATTAAACTGGTATTCGAAGACTTACGCGTGCGAGCATAGTTAACCACCTGCGTTTAGCACAAGTATCGTCTAGATATGCTGACTTGTATGTGTGTGCCGCAGACACACTTGCATCAAACAAAATGCTCTCTATTATGTAATGAGCAACAGCCAACTTACTCAAATATGCAAGCTTATCGAGGGAATGGGGAAGCGATACTGTCACTTACATGGTATCTCATTTCTTCTATCCTAGCCACAGATATCGTAGTTAGAAACAGTAACATTTGATCGATCTGTTCAGTAGAAAATAGAAGCACGGCGTGATGCCATTGTGCTTCCCCGATGGCCTTGGGAAACGGAAATGCAGCTTCACCGATGACCACAGGAATTGCGCCGGATTTCAGACAGAGTAATAACTGCATTTGAAACGACAGGTCGCCAGGTTGGACATCCTTTATTTCTGAGAATAACGAGGATCCGAGGACCAAACCGAATATTGACCTTTGCAACAGCTGAAGATCAGAATCAAGAGGTAAAAGCGAAGATTTGAAATCAACCTCTTTGTAGGTGCCTTCTCAAGCCATGAAATCAAATGAATTAGTGAAATACGTAATCAACCCACAACTAACCACGCCCTGTACCACGCTAAATTCCGGGCTCAATCACTTAGAGCATTTTGTCACTGTGAACGCCTTAGCCGTGCATGCCTTTGCGCTTGCGCAAACCGATAACGGTGTTCAATTCAACTTTCTAACCTGCGCGGTTATACAGCGTATTCTGAGGGCCAGGTGATTTTGAATTTATGATGACAGTTGTTTATTGATCGGCGTAGGTGAAACAGCGCGGTAAGGGATTACCGTATGCTTTATCGTCACTTAGTGGGCGGTTGCATCTTTTTTCCAGCGTGAGACCAAGCCAGTCTGGTAGCAACCCAACTAAATAAAGTTAACCTAAAAATAATCCAAGTACGACTGTGCCGCTGTGGAGTTAATAAACAAAAATTAATGAGAAGCGAAGGCTACTGCGAATATCTAACTAGCAAACATAAATAATGACCTAACTCAACCAAAACTTCCCTTCTGTTTTGCCGTTTCATACAATGATGATTACAGATAGAGCAGAACTTCCCCATTTTGCTGACTGGCGACACATGGGCGTGACGTAAGCGGAGTCGCTGCGCTGCGCTGTCGCATGGTTCGATTTACCCTTATGGCTTGGCTGTACTAGCAAAACCAGTTAGTGGAAAAATGTATATTTGCAAATAAATATCCGGCTATTCAACTTTGATATCGTACTTTCCTGCCTAGTTGTTACACAGTTCAGTCCGAAATTGCATTTTGTCAAACAAACGTTTGTTCACACTTATTCGACCCAGATTCATCTGAGCTATCTACTGCACTCCATCTTTCGGATCCAGCTCGCGTGGATCGTCTTTTATCTCCACATGGCGCTTCTTGTGTCATTCCCACTAAAACACAATCGAGAAAATTTCCGAAGCACGAACCATACAGAAATATTTGTGGTCTCAAACGAAAGCCAACTACAATTCCCCTCTGACGAATCAGCAACTACAGCTGTGGACCGATCATCAAATTAGCCATCGTAAAAGTTGTGTCCGTATCGCTCAGTCACTCTGTTTGCCGCGTGAACCATCTAGCCGCTTCAGCCTGCCACGCCGGGGCCAAACGCACAGAACTTGACAACCATGAACATACAAAAAATTCAGTGCACATACGAACGACAGGAAACCATAAGCACTCGGGCCTGTCTGGGATTACCATCGACCGACGCAATGGATCGTGGCGACCTATCAAAAGCCATGTTATCGCATCCAGTTCGACAGTAGATTGTGGTCTTCCTTCATGCTATAAAATGTACTGATGGGTATTCAAAGTAGCAGTTGCCAAGGCAAGTTCCAATGCAAGTGTTCCAAGCTCACCGTAATCCAGTTGAAGCTACACAGTAATAAACCTGATTCCCTGTGGTTCTAATCAGTATGTACAGTCATCCCAACAGCAAAGATTGTACATGAACTACTGTAGAAGTACGAAAAACTGGTTGTAATGTTTGAAGTGATTCATTTTTAGAAAGTGTGACAGAGAGTAAGTTCCAGTCATTCCCATCCAGCACCACAATAAAATTGCGAAAAAGGCTAGGCAGCTTGCTAAAATTGCATCATCTGTGGCATTAAACGCCAATACTACCTGTTGCTCAAGTATACCTGAAATAATCGCCGCCAGTCCGTTTGCAGTGAGCACAGTCAGAGCATGGTCTGTCCTCCAAACGGTTCCAAAAATTCAGAAGGGCTTTGACACCAGGGGTGTTTGGAACTTGGTTGCTGGCAAAGGTGACCAGTATCCTAGATCTTCGGCTAGTCCCATTGGACCCATAGGAAATGAAGAAGAGGAAACTGTACCCAAACAGCCTCTGCCGACTGTATACAGACTAGCTGGTTTCTTGAACACAACCAGAGTTGCAGGTAGTATCTCAGCGGTAATCTGCACCAAGGTTCCAGAGTCGACGTTAAATTCCTTAAAATGAAAACATCTAGATGACTTGAATCAGTGGAACTCTATATATGAAACTATAGGTGTCGTAACTAAACCCGTACATTTGGCACGCGTCACCCGTCACCCAAACTCGCAGCACAACGGTGAAACAAAGATTTTCCCTAGTTGTGCTGACTTATGCCAATGAAGTAGTTGCTTTCCTGTTATCAATAGCTCGCCTCCGGAATAGGTCATGTTCCATCCGCCTATTCCCTGATATTCCGTAGAGCGAGCGCAGATAGACGAAGCATTGCTATGATGACGAAAACCGGAAGGAATTCGTAGCCAGGACCTTCCTGGTACACTGCGTTCCCGAGGCTAGAAGTCATGATGAGCACGAAGCGGCCACTCACCCCCAGGAGCAATAGCAGTGTATTCGCGGGATCCACTTCTTGGAAAACGTCATAGCGCAATCAATCTCGAGGCTGTGCCGATCGCAAAACTACAAGGGATGTGGCCCGAGGATTATGAGTGTTCCTTCACCCTAGAGAAATTTCAACAATCGTAGTGGATGGATCGTATGCGGGCGGCAGCAGCCTTCCTTCCGAGCTCCGGATCAAAGCAACATCTGCCAAGCAAACACACGAGAGCAGCCATTTAATCAGACCACTTACCGACAAGAGTTCGGATAAGTTCAATCAACTAGCCAACGAAACTGGCAAACACAACCCATACATTATATGCAAAAGGAGAAGTAAAGTGGTAATGGTAGGATCCATGAATTGGACACAGATGAGTGCGTAATCCCCCCACCCAAAAAATCGATTAGTTGCCGACCTTTTACCGGTCGGCACAACATTTTATCCAAAACACTGATCCCATGATTCATTGCCAAAAATAGAGAAACTTTCTGCATGTACACCAAAGCATAAGGTCTCCTGAACAAGATTGTCAAACTGCGGCTACGTCAAGCGTCACATGCCTGGGACCTCATACTTCCTACGGAAACCTGGTTGCACTCAGAAATTACCGATGCTGAAGTCGCAATAAATGGTATGTCCTTGCTTCAAGACGATTGGCCTAGCAAAGGCGGATGGGTAATGCTATACTACCGCAACGATCTGCAGTGAGAACCGATGGCCGAGCTGGAAACACTGACCATAGACTCAATCTGGAGTAGTTTGCGACTGAGACGCAACGACACTTGTCTTTCGGTTGTTCTTTATATTCCCTCATTTTCCACCCAAATGATGGACCCCCGCGTAGCATTATTCTCGGAAAGGGTTATACGAGGACGCTACAGTCATGTTCTCATCTCAGGTGGATTTAGTCTTTCTGATTTAAAAATTCCAGCGTCACACAACGTGGAGTTTAAGTCCGACTTACAAGAGTATATTGCACGCATTCCGCTCTTCAGCCATGTCACTTCACCCACCCGATTCAGAGCTGGAAATAAACCACCTGTGCTTGATTTATTACTCAGGAAATAAGAGCTCATGGTTGAGAAACCAAAGCTGGAGAGCCCCTGCGGCGAAGTGGCCACGTAACCATAATTTACGACTTCGTGTCTTACCAGGAATATCCACGGTAACGTAATAGCTTGTTTTTGTCGGCCGGTGGCCGAGTGGTCTGCACGTTTGCTTTGCAACCATAAGGTCACCGGTTCGAATCCGCGTAGGGGTGGGCGTCCTCGCAGTATACTCAGCCCGCGCGCGACTGGTGGTGGTCGTGCGGCAGCGAAGCGCCGTTACGGCGTTCAGCTGACACTTTATATTATTATTAATAGCTTGTTTCGAACAATCACTCAGTACGACAGACTAGCAGAAATTGTGGGCGATGCCAGCTGGGAGTCTCTGGATGTCTGTTCTACTGACATTACTTTGTTGGATTGTACTTGCAAGTTCGGTGATCTGATTGTATCTGCATCAGTCAGCAAGTCCCTTCGTTCTGCAAGGTCACAGTCATACATTGGGAGCAGAATCCGAAAACCCATGACAGCAAGAGACGCCGCATGGCATGTGATATAAAACGAACCCTAGCCTGACAGCCGGAGTAACTATGTTAAGCATCATAATCACTGTACCACAATTGTGAGCGAGGACAAATTAGTACAAAAGCGGAGTCTAGCGGAAAAGCTTTGTATTAACGAAAAGCTTCTGTACAGATATGTGAACAGCCCTCGGAAGGTGAAACGTGGTGTTCGCCGACGAATATCAGCAGATGGATGTACTCAACCCGCCTAGGATACAACCGATGTTCTACGGCTACAATATGCCTTAATTTTCCGACGTGCTCGCAGCATTTGCAGCAAGCCTGCCCCCTTCCCCCAGATACTAGTCTTTACACACGTCACGTTTAGTTCAGCGACCATTTTGAGGAAGCTACTATCGTTGCGCACCCATAGTTCCCCCGGAGTTGACAACATTTGCCCCCAAAACACTGCAGGTGGCAACTACGAGGATAGCTGAACCATTAACGAGATTTTTCCAAAGATGCCTGGAGGAACAGCAGGTCCCTAACATGTGGAAACAAGTCATCAGTACCCCGATTTTCCAAAGTGATAGCCGTTCAGAGCCAGCAAACTATCGCCCAGTGACTCTCCTCTCGGTGCTCTCTAAGATGATGGAATCGATCATGGCTGAGACTGCAATGGGCTACTTTAAAAGGCCTAACATTATGGCACGGATTCCGTCAGCATCGGTCATGTACTACCAACCTACTGTTTGCCCGTGGCAGCTGTTCCGAGATGGCCGACAGTGGGACCGGATTTGATGTCATCTACCTAGAATTTTCCCAAGCATTCTACCTTACAGATCGCTTAATGCTTCTCCAAAAGCTGCAAGCAGATGGTGTTGTATACCCTGTCCTTGGATGGATCTGAAACTTCCTCTTTCAGCGGCGCCTACAGGTTCGAGTTCGAGGTTCATTTCCTGATCAAATTGGCGTGGAGTACGGTGTTCCACAAGGGTCGGTGTTTGAGCCGCGGATATTCTTGTTCTTCATTAACGACATTGCAGGTGTCA